CGATATTGGGATTTTGGCCGATATCCGATATCGGTTATCGGCTACATGAGTTTTAAAATATCGGAATATCGGATATCGGCCAAAATCCCAATATCGTGCATCCCTAGAAATTATTCTTATTTCTTATTTCAACGGTTGCATATATTAGCTGCGAAATATGAATCAAGGTGCTATGACTGAAAGAAAATTGATTGACAGATGACCGTTGATATATGATTGGCCGAATTTAGGTGTTCAGGCTGATGTATAACTAACTGGCCTGCAGAAGATAATGAAATAAAAACAACAGATTTTAAGACAGGATTTTATCTAAATTTTGCAACAACATCGTCTGATAAAGAGTACATTTTTATACATGTTGGTAAATGATTGTGTGAACTTAGCCTTACATTTGAAACTACTTTATGCAGTTTTTTTTTCAGCAATAAGTCACATTTGCAGGTGAAATCCCTGATAAGGCCACATAGATATCTGAACCACCCTCCCGAACGTTTCTGTAAATGAGATTTTCCTCCATACCTGCAGGATCCTGTCGAACGGCCTCAGTCCGGCTCTGTCCGCTGGTCCATCCGCTCTGATCATGTTCACATAAACACCTTTCTCTAAGAAGCCGTCTGATACGCTAAAGCCAAAGTCGTCGCTCTCTGGGTCCTTTATCACTGTTACCTGCTCGAGGAAAACAAAAGCATTTCAGGTGTTTCCATGATAACCTTGGACCAAATATCAACTTAAAAATAGTTTCTTCAAAATATCTCAAACTAAAAATGTCTTCTAGCTTACAGCGCTTTAAGTTTTTTTATTATAAGCAGTTTTTCTAATTTTGTTTTTTGTTCAAGTAGTGTCTAGTGTGTAAAAAGTGGATAATTTACAGAGCCTTTCTAAGGATTAGGTAATTTCCTGAAGACGGGCTGATTTAGATGAAGCATCAGTTCGCTGTTAAAGGGTCACCAACGCCGTTCACCATAGTCTGGTTAGGTGAAGCAGGCACTGTGCTTGAAAGTTTACACACCCTCCCATTAAAGAGAACGATCAATTCAAAGTAGTAATTCAAATACGAAAACTGAAAACAATGTTAAATAAAAGTTTACTAAGTTATAGTTTGGTAAAAGGAAATATTAATTTAGAATTTTTTATTTAAGAAAGTTATAAAAACTGAGCCAGACAAGGTGAAATACCTTGCTGATGAACAGTCAAACAACATCCCTGTCAAAAGGTGCAGAAGTTTGACTGAATATTACCTGAACGT